CAAAAATAGACCCCCAGATATATTCAAAATAAAACTTTATGTTACTCCAAAATAATAATTGAGGAACTTCATGCTCATTGTGACATTCCACAATGTCACAGATGTCAAAACTATGACCATACACGATCTTACTGTAATGGCAAGCCTAGGTGTGTGCGGTGCGGCCAAGAGCACCTTACCGAAATGTGTCAAAAAACAAAAGAATTACCAGCCACATGCGCACTATGTAGAGAAGGACATCTAGCCAACTATAAAGGTTGCGTTGTTCACAAACAGCTCCAATGGTCTAGACATATGCTCAAGTCTTCTCAATCACTATTGAACCCACAAGACACAACTACTAATAATGTAAATGGTAAGCCACTCAGCACTCATTCTTAACACTTTTCTTACACTGATGCAACTATGCCAGAACTTTTGCGTCGTGATGAGGACAGATAAAATAAAGTAGTCGACACGGTATAGTTACAGTTTGTGCGGTGCCGTTTATTCCAATAATATTAAATATAAGATGTATATAAAAGCACTTAAAATTATTATAAATAGTGTACACAATAACTAAATAAGAAAACACCAGCTAAAGTAAAACAGACACGAGATAGGTACAGTCGATGAGGAAAAGGCCCATGTGTATCGAACGATGTCACCGAGATGACTTAAAGTATATTTGCGGCGGGTCGTAGATGGATGTGCGACACTTGCTGGACTTTGTACCGTGGCGCATCGCACGCGGTGTTAGTCAGTCAAACTACCATATGCACATAGTAGGGCGACGACTAATAAAGGTATCACGGGTCACAGGGCTCCGTGTATTGAGAACGCCGCGGGACCGTGTCAACTAATAATAAAAATCTAAAAAATACTTTAACCAACGATCCCTCACTTTCCTCCCAACTGTCTTCCTTTCTTGAGAACTTCCAATCTCTGATCACACCATTAATTAATCTTCTTACAACTGTCATAAACAAAATCATAACTAAAAATGACGCTTAATTTTAGTTTAAATACCCCGATAACTATCCTCTCTTGGAATGCTAATGGACTCAAACAACACAAAAATGAGTTTCAATTCATATTAAAAGATAAAAATATGCCAAAGACCCTTCCTTGGGAAACCGAGTCCCCAATACCAGGAGCAGAACGTTACTTCGCAATATTAATAATACTAATTTATCAACCCTAACTCCTCCTGAACCTTCTTATTGGCCCTCACATAACAACAGGCTCCCAGATGTACTTGACATATTTTAAAACAAACTATCAGGTAATTTTCAAAATAACTTAAGTAATCTCTTTGACTTATCCTCCGATCATCATCTATCCTAATCGAAATAGTTTTAAACGTTCCGTCTTCAAAAAAAAAGAAACCCTTACACCTGGCAAAACTGACTGGTCTATCTTCAAATAATTAATAAACGCAGAAATTAGGATAAATATTTCTTTACAATCTAACGACGAAATAAACGCTGCAGTTAATCACTTATCCTCTTAGATCCGAAAATCCGCGCTGTCTGCCACTACTTCACAGCCAAACCTAAACTCCAGGCCTATTCCTCAACAAAAAACTCTACTTGTAGAAAAACGTCTGGGCAGAGCCAGATGGCAAAATTATAAATATCCTAGTGACAAAGCCAGACTCAATGAAATAAGCAACAAACTAAAAAAAGCAATTAAATTGTTAAAAACTTACCAAAACAGCCATAGTTTTTCTAGCGCATTTATACAATGCAGTATCTTACTTTTCGGACGCTTAGAAACAGTCTGTTACAATCTTAAATTCTAAAGCCTAATAAGTGCTCCACCGATCGCGCCTCTTATAGACCAATAAGTTTACTATCGACATTTTCAAAAATCTTTGAGAAAATACTGATAAAAAGATCCTTCCTCTTGATGCAACAGCAAATATCATCCCGCACACACAATTTGGGCTCAGAGCTACACACTCTACTATATATCAATTACATCGTTCTGTCGATCATACATCCGCATCCCAAAACATACCAACAATTGACCAACTAGCAAAATCGTTCTACTCAAATTTCCATTCAAATCTAAGTACTCATTTTAACCTCCTAATAAAGCAATAATGCTCGATAATGCTCCAAGGAGATTAAAAAGAAGGTAGCCTAGAGATCTTCTCAATAACAAATATAAAAAAAAATTTTTTTTTTTAACTTCCTAGCCGGTTGACACTGCTGAGTGTATTCCCATAAACGTTAATTTTATTGTCATGTATATATAGCTGTCATCAAATTTGCTTAATGTACTTGTTCTATAGATTGTAAATATATTTTCTGTCAGATAAAAAAAATATTTAAAAATAGTTAAAAAGCGTTAAATATTCAGTTTATTTAATATAACTCGTTAAATTTACTATTTATACAAAAATGTTTCTCATTATTTTTTGTAGAACATATCATTGAGAATAAAAAAGTATTAATAAGACTTTTTGCTATATTTGATGCTTTGTCTATAATTGAATTGATAAATTTTAAAAGAGGACTTTTACATATTTTCCAAAAGTAATGTTTAATATGACTAAATTTCAAAATAGGACTAAAATATGGTAAATTGTAAAAAGATAATAAGAATAAATTCTAACATTTTAGGACGTTACAAAAACTAAATAGCTTCTCATCTACGCACGGAAGCTAAAAACTGAATAAAATATATACAAAAATAATAAACACTCAAATTCATTTATTTTTAAAAAATTCAAATTTTTAAAAACTTAAGTACATTATAAAAAAAAACCAGCACAGTGAGGTGGCGGCACAGTGGGGTCGTGGCATAGTTGGGTCCAGTATAGATGATATCTGACAGTGATTAAAATCATAAAAAACGCTTCGATGCAAATTTGTAGATAGTGTTTAATTAAAAAAAAAAATTTGTTAAAATAGCATATTTTTTAATATGGTAGCCATTTGCGCATAGAAGATAGGTCATCGGGACAAATTTTTTTTTTCATTTAGTAGTACATAAAATAAGCTTTAATTTGATATATGTTTAAAGGACGCAGTATTTCCGGAACATTTTCAAAAATTAAGTTGAAATAGTTATTTTTTGTAAAAAGATAAAATGAGCAGAATAAGTGTTAGATTTTCAAAAAAAAATATATCAAATGAAAGGGAAATATCTAAGGTTTCAATAAAAAAAAATATTATTTTTATTTGTTCATTTTTGAAAGAGTTATGGCAGTTTTAAGTACAAAAAACATCCTGATAAAAGGTAATTTTTACATAACCTTTGATTTGATATATGTTTATAGGATGCAGTATTTCCGGGACATTTTCAAAAGTTCAGTTGAAAAAGATCTATATTTTTTACAATATTTCAAATTTTGGACGCCCCCTATATAAGGGAAAATTGTCCAATTTTAATAAAAAGTATGTCAAATGAAAGATGTACTTATAACGTATTCAGAAAAAAAAAATTTGTGCTGATATATACATTTTTCAAAAAGTTATAGCATTTTTAAGTTGAAAATTTAAAATCGAAAATCGAAAATTTTAACACAAAAATAGTGTTTTTTTAACTATGGCAGCCGTTTACATGCAGAAGATAAAGTGTCGGGACAAATTTTTTTTTCATTTTATAGTACATAAAATAAGCTTTAATTTGATATATGTTTGAACGACGCAGTATTTCCGGAACATTTTCAAAAATTAAGTTGAAAAAGTTAATTTTTGTAAAAAAGTTGCTATTTTAAATCNTTGAAAAAGTTGTTATTTTAAATCCCCCCCAATGAGCAAGTTAAGTGTTAGATTTTCAATAAAATGATATCAAATGAAAGGGAAATATCTAAGGTTTTAGTATAAAAAATAATTATGTTGCTTTGTTGATTTTTGAAAGTTATGGAAGTTTTAAGAAAAAAAAGTGAAAAAATTTCGAAAATTAGCGATTTGCGAGGAATGAGGGAATTTTTTTCAATTTTTAAGAGTAATGTCTCCAACTAGATACGATTTGTGATCTTTTGACGTATTTTTGAAAGAAATCGGTCCAATGAGAGCTGAGAAAAAGTGGCAACAGACATAAAAAAAAAAACACATCATAGTAAAATTAATACCTTCTCCGCTTCGCATTGAAGCTAAAAATCAAAAGAGATTTGAAAACGTTCAAACACATCCACCTAGCATGATGAAAAGCTCCTGGACGTAGAAAGTGAATACCTCTAGGTGTTATACAACCCAAAAAAATATTTAGAAGTTCCAAAAATTCTTTATAATCGTCTCTCAGTTGATTTTCATTTAAGGTTTCTATACAAAATTTTATAACATTATCGGATACACTACGCAATATTTGTTTGACCTCTATATTGCTATTATAAGTACTAATGCGTGTTTAGTCTATTTGTTTGTTTATTTATGATAATACAATGTATATAGGAATAAAACACAAAATTAAATACAAAATGTTGTATATTATAATAGTAATAATTACTTGATTTGTTTTTGAGAAAAAATCAAATAATGTTCCTTGCTTTTGTTTCTCTGGTTCTATGTTTAATACACTTTGACAGTGTTTTGTTTTACATTTATATTCTATTTTTAAAATGATAATAGTCTCAAGCCATATTTGTGTGTTTATAACTTCAGATATATGTTTATATTTTATATGACTGTAGAGATTAAACAAACTGATAAGATTTATTCAAAATTTGTGTTTTATGACAAACACCTATATTCGATACCCATATATTACTTTTTATTTTATTCTTTAGTCTATACTCTATAACTATTTTATAAATACGTATATTCACTAATAAGAAAACTAACAGTGGGTATACGCTCCACGACCCCTCTGACTGCAATAGTTTTGACAATAGAATCACGTGAAAGATTAATTTAGTATAGAATTAACAATTTTATATCGCCTGTTTTGTAAAATGTATATTTTTTTTAGTATTCTTGATGATAACAATTATAATATTTTTGATTATTGATTTTTATGGCCATTTACCCATAGAAATTTAATAATAAAGTATATAAATGTGATGCATATTTTCTCTGATTTTTTTTAATTTAACATCAATATATTATAACATTTTAAACATTTATGAATAAATATATCATAGAACAAAAATTTCTAATGAAGATTTACGATAATTTAATAAACTTTGAATAGAAGCAACTTTCAATATTTATTAGTTTTTATAGATTATTCTAATCATCCTCATCGTCTTCATAATCTTCATCGTCTTCAGCATCTTCATAGCCTTCATCATCTTCATAGTCTTCATCATCTTCATAGTCTTCATCATCTTCATCATCTTCATCATCTTCATCATATTCATAGTCTTTATCGTTTTTATCATCTTCGACGTCTACGACGTCTTCATAGTCCTTAACATCAAAAATGTCTTCAAATTCTTGCATATTTGGTCCAAAGTTTTCAAGTAGTTCTGAAACGAAATAAGATTGTAAATTTATTTATATTATACAAATAATTGATATTCTTCCCCAAAAATTATTGAAGTTACCCGAGTAAGTAGGCGAACATAAGTTTTAAATATTAGCATTAGAATTCTTCAAAAGTTAAAATAATATTTTTGGATTGTAACATTTAAGTATAAAGTATAACATTGAAAACAATTATATTATTAAATACACTTTTTACTTAAAAAATGCTAAATTCATCAAAATTCCCTAGTCAAAGGGTTAGGTTGATATTTTGAGGAGTATGTTCGAATATATATCCTTATTATACCTATGCTACAGTAAAGAATAATAGCTTTACAAAGCAATGGATTAAAGTATAACTAACCAGGAATTACTTTTTCTAACACAAAAAAGTTGGTAATAATTTTTAATATGCAACTATTATTGAATAATTATAAAATGTTTCATAAAAGTAAAGTATGTTATTAAGATTAATTGTAACCCAAAAAATAATAAATGTCCGTAACGCCTTGTTACGGTTATTAGTCCGATATTTTCATAACTCATTTATAAGTAATTTAAGAGTCATGAACTTACACTCGGTCCGCCAACTTACCCAAATTAATCTTCCCTACACGCTTAAAACAATGCACAAATAATTACCTATAAAGTTACTACTATCCCTAATAATATTTTATTTAAATACTTTTATAATATTATTTTTATAACATTATTTTTATGAATTATATAACAATTTATTTGCTCTAATTGAAAACTATGATACATATCATAAATTATATAACCAGAGACAACTTATGAAGTTCAATTATGATTAAAAAAACAATTTGAGTAGTTAATGTGAAAATTTCTTTCATATTTAATTAAATAATAAAAAATTCAAACTATTATTATGTTACTTATTATACATTATTTTAAAATAACATCATATAAATGACTATTAAAGTTAATAAAAACCTTTATTACTTAAAATCAAAATATTTTTAATTACAAAGTCTTTTTTTTTTAATTATTTAAAATAATGAACAAATGTATAAGCAAAAATATGAAACACAACCATTTTAATTGTTGAAAAATGTTTTAAATATTTTTATAGATTTCAAAAAAAGTAATGATAATTACCTTTGTATAGAACTTGATGTTTGTTATTCAAATTTTTTTCAATTAAAAAATCAAAGAATTTTTCAAATTTAGGACTTATATTGAATGAACTTTTCGAAAGAGTTAATTTTGCATATTCTTTTGTAATTGTGTCTATGTTATTTGGATCTCCTTCAGACAAATTTTTTTTTAACTCATCTTCGTAATTTTTCGTCATATCCCGTATAAATACAGTACATTTATTTATTGCGACCATTTTTTCATCTAATAAAATACCAACAAATTTATATAATATAGAATAATAATCTAAATCGCAGAATAAAAATAGATCATAAAGTAACATTATTTTTGACCCTCCAAAAATCTATAAATTTAAAATCTAATATTTTTGTCATCCCGTTAAAGTGGGACTTGTATCTGTATGTTTTTTCTAGTTATTAGCTAATTGACGAAGAAAAAAAATTATTTTAGTCATTATATTATAACTGGATGACTCATTTAGAAACTGATTATTGTGAAGTTTTTTTTCTCATTTATCATGGAATTGTATAAAAATAATTCTTTATTTTAATTATTTTAATCTGTTATGAGTTAGGTTATTATGCAACTATAAAATAATAATAATAATTTGCTTACAATATTATATTTTTTTTGTGAGTGATTAACCCTTAAACAGTCGCGTGGAAGTCTAGTATACCACCACATAAATAAAAACGGATGTATTATATTGCATAAAATGTGTACATAGATATAAATTTAGAAGATGGTTTTTATAGTAATATTGAATAAATTTTATAATTAAATACCTTTGAAAAAAAAATGTATGACTTAAAATATCCATCAAAGTTCAAAAGGGTCATATTGACTCCCACGCGACTTGTAACGTTATAATTTTTTTTGGACTTGTATTTTTTTCAAAATATCGTTTTATCGTAAATGCAATGTTATAATCGATATAATATTGTAGAATTGGGATGATTTTTACTCACTAGGCTAGGTTAGATATTTATTTATTATTTATTTTAAGGTACTAAAAGTATCTTAAAAAAAAATTACAGTTTTACATCTTTCTACTTCCCGAACCTAACATGCTACAGACCCCTAGATGGAGTAATTAAAATTTAGAAAAAAAGTTAAATTTCACTCAAACTTCATTACGAGTTATGGATTCAAAGTATCAAACATTAATCAAATATCAATAACAAGTTTATACCTTATACATATCTACATTACAATGTATTCGTGGATCGGAATTTGAAATACATTTGAAAAATAAATGAATCAATAAAATTTTTTATTTTCGATGTGAAGCTGAAAAGGTATTGGTTTTACTAAGATGTGTTTATTTATTTTTTTTTTTTTGTGTCTGTTACCACTTTTTCTCAGCTCTCACCGAACCAATTTCTTTCAATAATACGTCAAAAGATCACAAATTGTATCTAGTCGAAGAAATTACCCTCAAAAATTGAAAAATATGCCCTCGTTCCCCGTAAATGGGGGAAACCTCCAAAAAAATTACAAATTTAAAAATCGCAAATTTTCGAAATTTTTGAAATTTTTTTTACTTAAAAGTGCCATAACGTTTTTCAAAAATGAACATATCAATATATTTCTTTTTTATATAGATGTGTAATATTATTACCTTTCGTTTGGTATATTTTTTTCATAAATTTAACCCTTTCTCTGCCCACAAGGGGGGATTTAAAATGACAACTTTTTCAAAAAAAATTAACTTTTTCAACTTAACTTTTGAAAATGTTCCGGAAGGTCTGACACTTTTATATATATCTTAAATTAAAGCTAATGTAATGTTCTTTATTATGCAAAAAAAAAATTTCGGACTTTATTTTATCTTCACGGTGAAAATGGCTACCGAATGCTATTATTGTGTGAAAATTCTCGATTTTATTTTTTACATTTTTAACTTTATATTAATAATGACTATCAGATCATGTAGCTTTTGGAATAGTCCACCAATTTTTTAAAATTAAACACTATCTAAAGATTTGCATCGAAGCGTTTTTTTTTTTATAGTTATTTTAATCACTGTCAGATATCATTATACTTCATCCATCTATACCACGTCACCACTGTGCCGCGACCCCCCTGTGCTGGGTTTTTTTAATACCTGTTACAACTTTTCTCAGCTCTCACGATTTCTTTCAACGATGCGCCAAAAGCTCACAAATCGTATCTACTTGCAGACGATGCCCTTAAAACTTGAAAAAATCCCCTCAATCGTTGTAAATGGGAGAATTCCCCAAAAAAATTACGATTGTTAAAATAGTTAAACTTTAACATTTTTTAAACTTTTTTTTCTTAAAAAAGTATAAACATATTTGAGTTATTGCGAAATTATCATCTATCGTGTACTTCAAAGAAGTGTTTTTATTATGCTATGAATATATTTAATTGCAATCGTCATATTTTTTAATTATTTTACATAAAACTTAACAATATTAAATTACTTATCATTTTTTTCTTGAATAATTTTTAATCATTTACTATTAACGAATTTACCACCGAATAATTATAATTTTTTTTTTTTTCAAAAAATCAGAAATAATGTAGAGTTTTAAATAAAATATACCAACAAAAATAAATGTATTAATAAGATATTCAATATACATTATAATCAAATATATAGCAAAGAATATTATATATTATTTTGTTATACGGATCAAAAAATGGATTATGTATGCGCAATTAAAAAAAATAAAACAATTTTTCTCAATATTAAGAGTTTTTGTAATTTGGTGTTTTAATTATTAGTCAATTAGAGAAATAAATATTGCAAAATTACCTATAATAATATTTTATGATATAACTCGTCTATTTGTATAACTAGCTCATTTAAAAAATATCCCAATAAAACTGAAGAAACAAAGTTAAGTTATTATTTTGCAATATTTTTTTTCTATATTTTACAAAAATACCAAACTACAAAAGCTCTTAATATTTTATTTTTCTGATGTAAACTTAAATTAGCTGTTGGATCATAAAATATCTGAAATTGAAAATTTTTATATTTATAGTAAATGTTAAAAAAATTATATTACCAATCACGAGTCAATAACTTATTACCTGAGTAAATAGTTTATTTTTTATTTATGTTAAATAATGAAATTGTTTTAATAATAAATAATTTAGTAGTAAAAATAGTTTTAATATTATTTATTATTAAAATAAAAAATGTCAAACATTTTATTAAATTCAAATTTATGTTCTCCTTTGAAAAAGCATATTTGACATCCATACAAAGCATAAGGTATGAACTTAAAAAGTATTGCATAGCTTAATGAATAATATGTAACTAAAAGTAATTAAAAATAAATTAAATATTTAAATAATTTTCATACTGTGAGTTATTAAATAGGTTTTTTTAAAGAAACCATTCTGTATATGTATGATAAAAAAATAAATTTTAAATACCTGAATCAATTATGCTCTCAATTATATTATTTATACGATATCTAATAGTTTTAGTAAATTGAGATATTTTCAATACTTTATCAAGAAAAGGTTTAATAGAATTTATATTATTATCAACCATCTTCCATAATATATCGTTTATGATAATTGAATAATAAGTTGATATGGGATTCTGGTCCTAAAAAAATATCAGTGCTAAGTTATAATTTAGTTTATAGAAATTATTAAAGTAAATTAATAAATATTTATAAAGTTAAAATTTAAAAATTACTTTTAGATATTAACAGTTAGAGTTATAGTAAAATAAATAAATAATTTTTTATTATAAACATTCAAAAGAATCAATTTTAAACGATTAAAACAATACGTTAAATATGTCATTTTCCTTATTTTTAACATATTAATAATCAAAATCATTGTTAATTTAAAACAATTTTTTTTTGTTCTTAATTATTTTTTTTTATGAGTAAAT